CCGCCGCAGCATCGCCGCCGCCCACGCCGCGGCCGCAGGCGCCGGGCCCGCGCTGACCCCGGCCCCGCCCGTCACGCGCGCGCTGCGGCTCGCTGAGGGCCCGTCCCGCGCCGCGGCGCCCGCGTCAGGCGGCGGCGGCGGCGCCGGCAGCCAGCCGCCGCGGTCCTCCTCGCGCCCGCCCGCGTCGTCTGGTCGGGACGGGTCCGCGACGCCGACGAGCCCGGCGCCCGCGCGCGCCGCGGGCAGCTTCCTCCTGGCTTCCAGCTCGCGCTCCAGGCGGGCCCGGTAGACGGCAAGCTCCTGCCTGTTGACAAACGCCCTTTTGGGGGGGGGGCGCAGCGTGGCCGCGGTTCAGTCAGGGCCGCTGTCACGCGGTGCGCGCGGGCCGCCGCGAGGCGCCGCGCCAATGTTGTTCCGATCTTCCGAAACGGGCAGGCGCAGCCGGCGGCGGCGGTGCCGCCTTGATTCGGTGGAGAGCAAAAAAGGGGTGCTGGGGACCTACTCTACTCATGCAGCACGCGGATGCGCGAGACAAGCCGCCGCCCTGCAGCCGCACTGACAACGCCTCGCCCCTCCCGCAGCTCCCGCCTCGCCCCCCGCCCTTCGCACGTGCTCGTCGCGCCCCAACTCATAGCATGCAATGCGAACGAGGCCTCACTGGTAGAAAGGAAGCTCGGCGGTGGCCTGCCGCATGAGCGCCAGAAGCTCCCCCAGAGTGCCTGCCGCGCGGAACACAGGCAGCGCCGGGGCCGCCGGCAGCTGCAGCGCCCCGGCGGAGTCCGCCCCCGCAGCGGCGGCGGCGGCGGCCGCGGCGGCGCCGCCGATGCTGCCGTCCCCGCTGACGACGGCCCTTGCTGCGGCGAGGGCAGCGGCCTCGCGGCGTGAGCGCTTCCAGCGCGCCTTGGCCTGCGTGGGGTTGCAGAAGATTGTGGAGTGCAAGGGGTGGGGTTGGGGATGATGAAGGGGTGGTGACGCAGGGCCTATCAGCCGTGTGTGCGCCAGCCTCGCCCAGCCGCGCCGCGCGCGCACCCGCCAGTGGCGGCCAAGCAGCTGTACGAAGGCGCGCCGCTTCAGCGATATGTAGACCTGCGCCAGCAGCCCCTTGAGCCCGATGGGCGCCGCCACCAACTCCTCGGGCAGCAGCCTGCCGCACGGCAAGGATTGCATGCACGTGCCTCAGGGGCGCCGGGCGCCGGCGATGCCATTAATGAAGGAGGCGACTCCAATCATCGGGAATCAAGTCGCGCATGCACCAACCACTGCGTGCTGAGCTTCCATGCTTGCGTTTAATTTTTGCATTTTCACCGGTTTGTGCACCCCACGGGCGCACCTGTCGTTCGCCTTGATAGCCCCGACGGTCGGCCCTCCAATGCCTGATGCGGCGTCGGCGTCATCCGCCATCTCCTCCGCCGCCTCCGCCGCCCTGACTGCCGCGAGCGACGGCCCCGCCTGCGCGTCCGCCCCCCTTTCGTCTGGCAGCGCGGCGGCGCGCGCGGGCGCAGCAGGTGTTCAAGGAATGCGCGAGTTGAGCTTAGCGTGGGCTTGTATCGCGACCGACACTGACTCTCCCTGCAGCATCCAAAAATGCTTGAATGCGTCTCGCACACAAGCCTCAAGAAAGCCGCCTGCACCCCGGAAGGGGCCGCCGCTTGCGATGCAATGCACGCAGTGTTGGTTTCTTGACTGAGGCTCACCTGATGTCTCCCTGCGGCTGACGCCCGCGCCGATGCCCTTCCGCCTCGCCGCCACCCCGCCCCCCAACCGGCTCTTCTGC